ACTGGGGGTCCCCTAGCTGTTGAGGGAAAGGGCTGGAATTCAGACCTAGACCCATCTTCCTCCAAAAAGTAAGCTCTCTCCTGTCATCTGCTGCTGCCATTTCTAAAAATTAAAACAAATTATAATCAGAATAAAGCAGGGGGGAGGGGGGAGGTTTTGAACTTGGATTCTCAGGCTCTTGCAACCCAGCAGAGTGTGTTTGAGGGTCTCAGGAAGTCCTCTTGAAGTTTTGATGAAATGTAACCAGTGAAGACCAATGGCCTCTTTAGTCAAGTAGAGGAAGATCTATAATGGATAAAAATTCTTACGTGAAAATATAGACAGAATGGGTCACCAAAGAAACCCAAAAGTAACCACAAATCAAGATGGTTTTCTAGTTAGTAAATTGAATGGTCTCTGAATTGTGTAATTAAGGGGGGAAATTGCTGTTTAAAAAAGTACTTTGTGTGGTTTTTAGTGAGATAGTAAATTCAGGACCGAATTCAGCTTTCACATTTGTTAGTGGTCTTTTTAAGAGAATAAAGGGCAGTGGTTCGTATTGAAACAGGAATTGGATTGGAGACCAGGTGCCTCTTTATCCACCTGCTTTCAGTCAGAGGTCACTGGCCGTGCACTGCCCACTGCCCAGCACGCTTTCAGCATGCAGTGCACATCTTAGCATGTCTTACATTGTTTAAAGCTTCTAAAAGAAATGATTTGGGGCGCCCATGAGCTGCGTGGCTATCTCTAAATGCTGCCAGACTTGGGATGGTGTTTGTTTTCTTTTTGCCATGGTGTTTACATGACCTGGCTTGGACCACGAATGAAAATGCATTTGATGATTTCCTGGCCTCACCCATTCCCTAATGGATGTCTGTCTGGACGACAACACCCACTTGAGCACTAAGGCTCCTACACCAGCACAGGACCAGCCTGGGGGGAAGGGGGGTCTGTGACTGTTGGGCAAAAATACGGCGATCAGGAACCTTCTATGAAGTCTGAATTCTCCAGTTATCCAGTTCTAGAAGCACCCTTTGTGCTCTCTGTCTCCCATAGAGCCTTATGTTAGGGTTCATACCACAGCTGTTCCTCGAGTCGGAGAATCTCACAACTTGGTTGCTACCCTCCGGAACTCTAGCACTGGGCCTGCTCTCAGCCTTGACTGGGACTCGCTAGGACAGTTGGGGGCTGTCATGCAGGATGAGGATGACAGGCTGCTGTCTGGGGTCAGCTTCTATGGGATTGCACACAGCATCCCTGTATAGGCTTGACTGTGAGCCTGATTTACATAGCAGACACGCTCCCAGATAGCATATTTAGCAAGATGCATTCACATTTCTGTTTTGTTCACCATTGTCCCGAGCGCTGTATGTGGATGTGTCGGACGCAGTGGGGCCTTTCAGGAAACAGCAGGACGATTCCAGGCAGAGCATGACAGGTCTTTAGAGGGACGCACCTGCTCTAACCCAGGCCCACGAGCAAACGGGGGGCTGAAAAGAGGCTCCATGCATTGAGTGTTGACAGCGGGCCATGGCTGTCCGAAGGCTCAGGTGGTTGTCAGACATAAGTTTAGCTTAGCTCTTTGAGTAATTTGTCACGCCTCACTCGGCCCCTGCTGGGCCAGCACGTGCCAGCTTAGTGTCAGAGTGCCTGTTCACCAGACGGCCACTCAGGCCTAACGTCCTGCTGTTCCCCAGACCAGCGGCTTGCTGGGGCCATGCACAGAGGGCCGAGCCGCGGCGACAGCCAAGTACTGTGCAGAATAAGCGTGTTCATAATGAGACGTGAATGGCATTAGTGGGTCCCTCTGGAATGGGGCCTGAGCGGGCGCCTCTCGCCGAGGAAGTTTGGCAGCCTGTTCGTTAGTTAAGGTGAGTCGCCGGGAGCTCCGCCTGCAGCCGAGGAGCCGGTGCAGCTCACGCTTGCAGGCCCAGGGCTGTGTGACCCCCTATGGGAAAGATCATAAATCATCAGAGGGGCCACTTTTGAAACCTTGAAACTCAGTTCCCTTTTTAAAAGCTGCATAGAGGCAGCCTAAAGGCAAATTCTGGAATAGTGCTGCCCAGTCGTGCTTTCCACAGCGGCAGGTGCGTCTGTGTGTGCCTCCAGCACGGGGACCCCGTGCCACAGCCAGGGAGACAAGAGGAACTGGATCTCTGTTCTTTACTGTAGTTAATTTAAACTTAAATTTAGATAGCCACGTGTGACCCTTGGCCGCTGTACTGACAGCACAGCCCGGACTGCCTCTGGTTTCGTGGTGCAGAATGCTCCTCTGAATACAGTTCAAGGAGAAGGGGGAGGGAGAGCCTGCACTGAGAAAACAGAAAAATATTTTCCTGTTTTAAGACACATACTCTATCGAAAGCTAATTGGAAGGGCGTAATTGTCACCAAGTTATGTTTTTAAAGAGGCCATTTTGACAACACAGTGAGAGATGTAGAATTGCTTCTGTCGCTACAGATCATAAACTGATGGTGATCCACATTCCCTGTGCTCCTGGAAAATTAGCATGATTTTCACAATGACCAAAACGCGTCTTTTAACTTTGGTGTTGACGATGAGGAAGGGGAAAATGAGACATCATGCCGCCTTCCCCAAGTGTTAATTCATAAAGTCATACGTGTGGTGCCTCCATCGCTGTCGAATTGTTCTGGCGTTATCCTGTTATTGGAAGTGCAGCATTCACCTTCCCAGGAAGCAGAAGCCGCACACAAAAGGGGAAGATTTGCTTTCTGCCCCGTGAAAGGCGGCCACACGCAGGGGTCCTGTTAAGACAGCTGGAAAGTTGCTTCAGTGTGTTACGCTTGTAAGTTTTATTGGTGGCTGGTTTTTGATTACACATTTGAATGCGTGTGTTCCAGGCTGCAGTTTTAATTAAAAGGCAGTCTTTTTTTAAGTATTGCCTTGCGCACTCTCTGCTTGATCCTCCAACGTATTTGTTCTTATTTCCGAATGCTCACAGCCTATCTCGGCTTTCAGCTCAGGTGCCCCCTCAGAGCATACCTCCTCGGCCTTCCCTCTTCCCAGGGACATGCATTAGCTTATTTCTTAGAAGTGTGTGCCACCACCTTCTCACTGATCCTTGCTTGAAGTAGCAAATCATTTTGTCAGTAGGCTGAAAAGAACATTTTATCCGGGAACTAGCAAGAGAAGATCCAGATCTGTCCCCCAGCTGTCAGTGGAAAGAGATGCTGTCATAGTCCGTGTCTCTGTTTTTGTTCGTTTGACTCAATCTTAATGGTCTTTTGATGTGATTCTGTAACTATGGGTGTACATACTTTTTATTGATACTAGTGTTGGATGCAATTGAAATCCAAAAGAAACTTAGGTCTCAAAATCAGAATTTTATCATTAAGACCAATCCTTAAATTTCTGACAGATGTTAACAAACTTGCAAGGTAATTTCCCCCCCACAAAACATAAAAGTTGCATCACTGTACGTAAAGCAGAGTGGACTCTGGCATTGTTACGTGTGCCATTCTGCACATGCACTTGTTTCCTTAACCGATTGCTGCAGCTACGAGGAGCGAGCCCTCTATCTCGAAGCCATAATTCAGAACCACCGCGAAGTAATGACATTTGAGGATTTCGCAGCCCAAGTCTTCTCTCCGTCTCCCAGCTACTCCCTCGGTGGAACGGGTGAGTGTCTGCATTATTCTTCCCTCGCGCGCTTAAGACACACTCGAGCAGCAGATGTACACCTGTTTTTCACAGATAAATGCTTGCGAATTTAAGAAGAGCATTCTCCCTCTGAATCAACTAATGAATATCAAAAGGAACGATGACATTCATTTTAATGTGTTTTGTATCCGAGCTGTTCACCCAGTTCTTTTCTTCCGCTATCCTGTTAACCTCCGAATCTAGCGAGGTTAATGAACTTTCCTCAGTGATGTGCTCGGTTCATTTGGGAGTGTGGGTTTCTTGCTGAGCTGGGAATAATGTTGTCTAAAAGCGATGCCCGCATCAGTGCTTACTTATCAAAAAAAGAGTTCCTCACAGTCGAAGCCGTTGCTACTAATGCTAAATGGGGATTACGCTGCCGAGATACTCGAGATACCCGGTCAGGGATTAATGCGGGAGGAATGGAAGGACGGTGCCCCCTGGTCCATCATGACGGCAGGGCCGCACGAGCCTTCTCTGCAGCGGCCTGTGTCACATGGACCGGCCGCCGACCAGAGCAGCACCTGGTGTGGAACCTGTTTAGAAACTGGCTGACCGTCATGTTCATTTATTAGGCAAGTGGGAAATTTCAAACATTTCCATGAATGTTCTTGTTTTTAGGTTTCACTCTCTTATATGAACAATTCGGGGAAAATGGTGTACTGCCACCTAAAATGATTGTATGATTATTGTGGGTGGAGTTTTATTATTTTTTTCAAAGAATAGAATTACTTACAAATTTCTGCATGTCATTGCAGATGACTTGCCTTTCAGAGAGTAATGGGATGCTTGGTCAATGCATGCTGAAATTCTCAGTGAAGGGCTTCCTTCTGCTAGTGTAGACACATTGTGAGGGCGCTTAATAGATTTCTAACCTGTGTCAGTTGCCTCTGACACCACCTTCCTTCTCCTGTTCTGACTTGTTAACAAATCTCTTACACACAAAGTGAAAAAAAATTAAATTCCGTGAAATAAATCACTTACAAATAAAATCAGCCATGCATCACTGTTTAACATCGCTGGCTTCAGTCCTCGCCTCTCCCAGCTTTGTTGGGAGATAAGAGGAGAGGCTTGCACTCGCCGGGGGAGCCAGGAGCAGCAGGCAGAAGGCCTGGGAGATAAGCAAGCTGGCCAAGGGAGCAGAGCCATGCGATTTACATAATCACGCCCCTGCTTCCTGGTGAGGCGTCGAGGAACACAGGGATGGCCTCTATTGATCGTTGTTGAACTGGAATACTAAGCAACATGAGAAAAGCTTATAACTTAAAGCTTTGATTAATGTTTCCTACATTAAAAAGGTAGAAGAGCTGTGAATTGAATTCTTTTATACACTCTGCCAACGTTCCATCTAAAACCAAAAGGAAATCAGTTTCAAGGGAAATGAAGATTTCATACCCAGTTTAGGTAGAGGTTTAAAATTGTTTCTAATTCTTGGTGAAAGCCCATGAAAGATCTATAGCAAAGCTAATTTTTTTTAAAGATAATTATTCTGGTTTTTTCACCCTCACAATGATTTGGGGCTTAATTTTTCAGTGCTTTGAGAAACCTTTTTGTTTCTTAAAATTAAAGCGATTAAATAATAGATATTTGCACTCATCAATTCAACTGTTATGTTCTTAAGGCTCTTGACTATTGAAATAAATATTGATGGACTTTTTATATTTTAGCCTCTGTATAAATTTGATTTTTTCCCCCAAAAGTTTAAGATTATTAAAACCAATTTAAATTAGTGTGTAGGTAACATCTTAAGTGAGATTGTAGGAGTCATTTGGGTTTTTTAAGACCTGCAGTTTAAAGACGATTACTGACAAGCTTCTTCAAGAACATCGCGTTTGCCAAAGTCCCTTAACAGATAAAGGTTCTGACAGCTCAGAAGTGTGGGCATTGGAACCTGTACAAAAGGAACGTGAAACCAAAGATGGAATATCAAGACAAATCCTGCTCCTTTCTTTTTTCAAGTTATTTACACCAGTATCACATTTCATACTGTTTAGGGTTTAGGGAATTGGGTGTTGAGTGATAAAAATTTTTGTATGGATATCACACCAATCCATGAATGGGACTTGTGTCAGGGCATAATGCTCTCTCTCTTTTAATGCTTTGCCTATGTGCCCACCACAGTGATTAAGAAGGAACTAGAAATGAACTTGACCTGAACTGAAATTGGGGGCAGCGCAGTGAGGGTGGAGCACGCACAGGCTCACTCTCAGAGCCACCTCCTCGCCCCATGCCCGTGCCGGTTCTGCTTTCGAGGAATCCCTACCCCTGTCTGTTACCACTTTTACAGATGAAAACACTTCTCACTTATTCACAGTGTTTTTTATTATCTTGGGGCAAGTGTGATCAAACCCAGATGAGCTGAGCAGCTTAAACTAAGAAACTGAGGGGAAGTCTGCTCTTCCAAGCAGCAAGCCAATTGGAAAAATTGACCCCGAGCAGTTAAGCTCCCACAGTGCCCATCCGACCCAACCCGGCCATCCTGGCCAGCAGGGTCACCAAAGCCAGGCCTTGGGCTACTGCTCACATGCATATGCACAGCCTGAGGAGCGAGGGGCTCTCGGGTTCTCTTTGTATCCTTGTCCAAGGGCTTTGTTGTGAACACAGAAGGAGAGTAACCTGAAAGCTGTGTTCACTGCACACTGGCTTTGTAGCAGCAAGCAGCCCCTGCTTCTAGAGGGAAGGACTCTGATGTCGGCTTTACGTCCTCGCTGTAAGTAAGAGATGTGCCAAGTGGGAAGTGCCCTCTCCTCAGACTCTCCCTGCCCCAGTGCTGTCGCTTGTCACCCAAGGCGGCCATAGATGGTCACGGTGGCCAACTGTGTCCTCTATTCATGACTCACTGTCAACCACAGATGTGAGGCAGGGTCTTTTGTTGTTTGGCTAATAGGTGGGTGCTCAGCTTTTTTAAAAGAGGTTTTTTAAACACCTATTTTGCCAGTGCAAAAATGTTATTTTACAATACCACGTACCTCCTATCTATTCTGCCCACTCCTTGTTTCAATAATGCCCACTGTAGAATCGGGATTGGAGCTGCTTTCTTACCTAGCCCTGTAATTTGCATTCCTTTTGATTCCTTCCTTATTGACCAGCAATTTCTGAGTGGTAGCCAGTGATAAACTATTGGCTGCAGTTAACACACACACGAGTGTGTGTTTGCATATATATGTCTACACGTGTGTGTATAGATATGTTCTATGTATGTACATATGTGCATTTCACACACACACACATTGGGGTAAGGGACTAAGTTTGTGTTTCCAAGCATGTTTCCAATGAAGGGGGGCCAGCAGAGGAGCCGTTAAAGGGTTAACGGGCACGGGCGCCCTCGACTGCTGGGAGGGGCTGATGTAATCGCTGCCGCTCACAGCCAAGTGCATCTGTTCACCATGAGGTCATTCTTCTGCATGCTAATGATTTGGAAAATCAAGTCTAATGCTTGACATTATCAGAAAGGATATAAATAGTGTAAATCTTTACTTTTGGGAAGCTGCTCTTATAAAACAAAAAGAGAAAAGAAAAACTTTAGCTTGGACTTGAGGGTTGTTTTTTTTTTTCAGGACTGCTTTAATGATTGTGTCTGGACCTTAAGATCTGGGAGGGATCCCCTTGTGTCTGTTGATAAATGATCCCCAAATTACTATTACAGTCACAGCTGACAATTTGGTAATTGTGAACTAGAGGTATGTCTAATTTAACATCATATTTTAAGAATTTCCAAGTGCTTTGGTCAGAAGGTGATAAAGATGGATTTCTCTCAAAGAATGTCTAAAACCAAGAAAAATGAGTGGTCCCTCTCCATATAGAAGTGAGTGTTTGCTGAGGATGCCGGCACTGTTTGTGGTCCTTCCTGCTTTAATATTGCTATAGGGAGCCAGCAGAGGGAGCACAGATCGTTGTTTATTTGTTAGCCCTACATAAAACAACATATGATTTCTCCAAGATATGGTCAGAAACACTCCCTCCTTCACGACAGGCTAGACTGTGAAGGCTCCAGGATTTAGAACAAGTGGGAGAAAATGCCTCACTAGGCACCATCAGATTCTGCCACTTGTAATGTAGGTCGTATTTGGAGCTTAAAGCAGATTAGTCCGAGTTGGTCTCCGGATGCTGCTGCCTCTGCTGCTACTGTACAGAGCTTCACATTTTCACCTTTCGCGCTCAGGAATTGCACAGGTGCCCGCTTAGAAAGCTTTACCAACCTAACAGAAAAGACCTTAGTAATTTTTCTCTGCAACAAAATCATTATATTAAGTTCACAGAAACTGGATGCATCTCTTAGCAGCCTGTCTCCTAGAAGGAGAGGTGCAAGCCAGGGCCAGGACATATGAAAATGCTGGCCCCGTGCCCGCCCCGTGGGATAGTCCCAGAAATCAGAGCCACGGCTGCTGGTGTATTAATATCAGTTAAAGACCAGGGCTGAATCTCAGCATTTCACTCGGATACTCCAGAAGTTACCTTTAAGTGCAAGTGCTCTTGTGACCCTGTCTGTTCAGGAGCTCCGGCTGCCACCCCGCACCCTCAGGTGTCCGTGGCTAAGCAAGTGTAGCCACACGCCCCGCTAACTGACTGCCCTGCGTGTGCGGTCCTTCCACCCAATATCCCTCCCAGACCCAGACCAGATCTTTCTTCACAACCTAACTGCCTCAATTCTGACCCCCTTTGCATATGACATTCAAAAAAACAACAACACTTAAAATGCATTCTTCTTAAAAATACAATGAAGCAGCCATAGGAATTTTTTAACCACCCACAGTCCCATGGCTGATCCGCCTGGATCTGGCTACAGCTGCACATTGGTTCACCTGTGAAGCCGTAGGAATCTGGATGCTGTGTCCCCACACCAGGCATTGGGATTTCCTGGTCTGGGCCGTGGTCTGGCCCTGGGGACCTTCTTTTAAAAACTCCTGAGAGCATTTTAATATGCAAGCAGGACGGAGAACCACTGTCCTAAGTCAAGGCCTCTCAGTTATGGTTAGGGC